GTCTTTCTACAGCGTCTCTGGAACCATGACTCTCCTCCACAGAGTCCAGACCAGATTCACTCAGCCGCTTCATGCTGGGATTGGACTCTGTAATGATAAATCCTCTGCTGAGTTCATTAAACTGAAATAGTCAACAGTAATCTGAGATTCAACTGGTCAAAATATAAGTAGTAGTTTCAGCTGTTTTAGTCTCCATCATTGATGAGAGTAGCTGCCATTTCTTCACTGCTCAGAGATCAGCTATTTGGAGTTACTTTGTGTCTTTGCTGATGTTGGAGTTTGCTTGGTTTCTGCCATGGAGACGACCACGGCTGAACACATTCACGGAAACTCATTACATTTACATGTATTGCTTTGTCAGACCAAATGTTCAAATCTATGTGCAGATGAGCTGATCGAAACTGTGGATGATCATCGATCAGGACATTGTTTTATTGTTTTATTGGATAAAGATGAACTAACTTACTTGGCCTCTAGAATTTGGTTAGCTCCTCTTGATGGGAGGATATTATTATGCTTAATATTAATAAAATAAAGCAAACTGTTTCACTCTATATGATTACAGAGTCACGAGAAAAGCTGTAATATTTTGGATTTAAATACACACTGACAAGAAGCAAGAAATTAAAGGTTGAGCAAATATGTAATGTTTTAAAATCAAACTTAATGAACATAAGTCCAGGTCATCTGTTGTTTTTTTCTGGACAGTAATGACTCTAGGAAATACAGAACTAACACAGTCAAATTGTTTGAAATTTGTAACGAGATTATTCGACTTGGGTTTAGAGTTTGATTAGAAACAGTCTCCTTACAAAAGTGGACAGATTTCAATGCAAAGACATTGATTTAGTTTTAAAATGCTCTCATATTTCTGTGAATCTTCTCAGTAATTATTTTCCCAGCTCTTCCTTCTTTAGGACTACGATGATAACCCCTATTAATGGATGTTTTTCATTAAAGATTATGTAAAACAATTGTCAAGTAATGATTGTGTGAACTGTTCAGACTGCAGATATGGTTTACAAACTAATTATTAAAAGTAAAAAAAAGTCTATTTATGTGATAAATATGGAGTTTTGGCTTCATTATAGATAGTTTGAATGCTTTGTAACAGTTTGTTTTTCATGTCTTCACTGATTAATTTTTTCTTGAGAATTGATTTTTTTCTTTGGTAGAAAATCACTATTCTGGTATGACTGATTTTATTGTTTTTAATTGGACAGAATCAAAACAATTGTTTCAAAATGACTTATTCTTTGTGATTCGTGTTCACTGTATTATTCTACTGCTGCTCATCATGTTTATGTATCAATTATCGAATATATTTTTTTTACTTATTTACATTCAGCTTTAGCATTGAATTGGTGCAGATCAGAGAATAATGAAATGTTTCTCCTCAGGTCTAATTTGCAACAGGAACATCTAAGAATTATCTTTAATATTTAAACATTTAATGCAGCGTGTAAGAAAAGGTCTGATCTGTCATATTGTTTCAGAATGTGCTATAGTGTGATATTGACATTAAGAAAACAAATAGCAACCTATTCTCAAGAAAAAAATTAAAACATTTTAGATTGAAATTTCTGAATCCATCAAATAAAAGAAAAACTGATGTTTAGTTTTTACATGACTGTAAAAGACTGAATAAACATAATAGCAGAATCTTTCATGAATTTTGTCTAGTACCTTCAAATGAACACTAGATGGCAGTGTTATTGGGCATTCAACACGTGAATTAAGTGCCTTATTTGTAAAAGTTGTTTTTACTACTTTTTAATATATTATATATAATATATTACACTTCAAGGTGGACCTTACTTACTGTGACACATCCTCTATACACCCTGATGCTGAAACATAAATGGGTACTGAAGGATACAGTCAAGTTCTCATGATGTTCAGAGTGGTCAGTTTCACAGATCCCGATGTTGCTTGCCTGGTTGGTTTCAACAAACATGCATAATCTGCCTCTGGTACTTAAAAAAACACAACTTTTAGAAACGTGTATGTAGTACCTCTAAACATTAGATGGCAGTAAAAGACAGAAACCAGGGTAAAGGTTTCATATTCAAAATATGAATGAAGCAGCTGGTCTGTAAACTGGGGCTTCGTTTTTACTGTTTTTTAATAAAGAGGGATTTACAGACACATTAACTTTGTTGCTGTATCGCTGTTGCCTGTCTGGGTGAAAAACTAAAAATTTAAATGATTAAAACTGTAGACTAAACACTGTTTTGTTTCCTGGGAAGAAATATCCAGTATAACCAGTTCAACCACTCAAACAGAGAGTCAAATTCAAACAACCCATTTCCTGGTCCTTCCCCTTTAACAATCTCAAAGACAAAGATCAGAATATTCAGCGTCAGGCAAAGTTCAGGAGCACAAGAAATAGAAAAGACGAGGATTTGGCTTCGTCACACTTTCAGTTGCTTTGAAAGATCCCGGAGTTACTCAGAGCTGAAATGGAGCAGCCAGGAAATCAGATGGATTCCATAACATTCTCCTGTTCCATCTGTTTGGATCTACTGAAGGATCCGGTGACTATTCCCTGTGGACATAGTTACTGTATGAACTGCATTAAAGACTACTGGGATGGAGAGGATCAGAGGGGAGTCTACAGCTGCCCTCAGTGCAGACAGAAATCCAAACTGAGACCTGTCTTGGTGAAAAATGTGCTGTTAGCAGAGTTGGTGGATAATCTGAAGAAAACTGGACTCCAAGCTGCTACAGCTGATCACCGCTATGCTGGACCTGAAGATGTGGCCTGTGATGTCTGCACTGGTAAGAAGATGAAAGCTGTCAAGTCCTGTCTGGTCTGTTTAGTTTCTTACTGTGAGAATCATATTAAACATCACTATGAGGTGCCTGCACTGAAAAAACACCAACTTTTCAACCCCTCCAAGAAACTCCATGAGAGCCTCAGTTCTCTTCATGATGAGATGATGAAGATCTTAATGAATGAATTTGAAACCGTCTCAGTGGCATCAGAAAGAGCTGAGAAGCAGAAGAAGCTCCAGGAGAGTCAACAACAAATCCATCAGAGAATCCAGGACCGAGAGAAAGATGTGAAGCTGCTTCAACAGGAGGTGGAGGCCATCAATGTCTCTGCTGATAAAGCAGTGGAGGACAGTGAGAAGATCTTCACTGAGCTGATCCGTCTCGTCCAGAAAAGAAGCTTTGAGGTGAAGCAGCAGATCAGATCCCAGCAGGAAACTGAAGTGAGTCGAGTCAAAGATGTTCAGGAGAAGCTGGAGCAGAAGATCACTGAGCTGAAGAGAAAAGACGCTGAGCTGGAGCAGCTCTCACACACAGAGGATCACAACCAGTTTCTCCTCAACTACCCCTCACTGCCAGCACTCAGGGAGTCGACACACTCATCCAGCATCAACATCCGACCTCTGAGACACTTTGAGGACGTGACAGCAGCTGTGTCAGAGCTCAGAGACAAACTACAGGACATCCTGAGAGACACGTGGAGAAACATCTCACTGATGGTCAATGATGTGGATGTTCTACTGTCAGAACCAGAACCAAAGACCAGAGCTGGATTCTTAAAATATTCAACAGAAATCACTCTGGATCCAAACTCGGCACACACACATCTCTTATTAACTGAGGTGAACAAAAAAGTAACAATAATGAAACAACAACAATCTTTTTCTCATCATCCAGACAGATTCACATTTTATGATCAAGTTCTGAGCGTCCAGAGTCTGACTGGATGTTGTTACTGGGAGGTGGAGTGGAGAGCTGAAGCAATCCATGTTGCTGTTTCCTACAAGGACATCAGTAGAGACGGGACTTCAGATGAATGTGTGTTTGGATTCAATGACAAATCTTGGGTGTTAAGTTGTTACACAAAGGGTTATACATCTTTGCACAACAGAGTTAAAACTCCAGTACCAGGTCCAGTTTCCTCCAGAATAGGAGTGTACCTGGACCACAGAGCAGGTATTCTGTCTTTCTACAGCGTCTCTAAAACCATGACTCTCCTCCACAAAGTCCAGACCAGATTCACTCAGCCGCTTCATGCTGGGGTCCGACTTTTTGACCTGGGAGACTCTGCAGAATTCAAAATATCGGAGTAGAACAGCAACGCAAAGAATCACAACAAAATACTTAGCTATGATACAGGACAGAATGAAAAATACATTTCAATAGATTATGTACATTTTGATTGACTTTTAAAGAGAAGAAAAAAGAAAAACTTCAACAGTATTTCTGCTTTGAAATATTCACATCTGCTGAAAACAAAAATCAATAAAGGAAAATGTTTAATTTTCAATCATATGTCAGTGTTAATGTGGATTTTGAAAAGTGTGTAAAATTAATTGTTTTTAAATAGGCTATATGACTTATATCGAGTACTACGTCTTACTCAGATATTCTTGTTCAAATTTAACAGGTTAGAATTTATGATTCATATTTTCTGCATGTCAAATATTTTTTTTATTTCCTCCAATGTGCGAGAGAGAAGCATACAAATGATTTGAAGACGTTTTTCATTTTATTTGATAAAGTCTGTACTTTATCAAATACTTTCTTATTGTTTTATATTTTTCCAACTGTAATGCTAATAAAAGTCTCTACAGAAAGTAATGAGTCTACATCTTGTTTTTAAGGCATCTACCTGCTAAAGTACAGACACCACTTCAACATTTCACTTTACAACCAGTGGTAAAATTAGCATGTTAGCTATTGCAGATAAAATTTGCCATGTAAAGGTAGATAGCATGCTAGCTTTAGCTGATAGCTAGCTATAGCTACTAACAGAATGTTAGCTAAAGGAGGCTAATGCAGCCATTAACTTCTTACTTGTCTTTCACAGAGAAGGCACTCCTAGACCAGTTCTGGTTCCCCTGGAGGTTTGTCTCTATATGAGTTTTCCTGTTTGATGTCACTACATATGCGCTCAGAGAGATTTCTGCAAATCCAGCAGCACAATGCAATCAACAGTCGGTTGTTAAATGCTCATTAATGAGGAGTTATTGCTGCAAGTCAATTGCTTGATGTAATCTGTTGGGTTTTCTTAGAAAGAAAAGTTTTTAACTAATTTTACTAATAAGCTGAAGTTGACGGATTGGACGGACGTGTCATGCTGTATAAAAATAAATATACAGAAAATGGTCAACTGGAGACCAAAGTCTGAAGTAAAATGTTTAAAACGTGAGAAATGCAGCAGCAGTCTGAAGTCTTAGCAGAGAATTTGCCCCGCCCAACCGCAGCTGCGGTTAAGCTCCTCCATTGTGTTCAAACACCGAGTTCAGCTCTGCTGCTGCATTTCCTGGTTCCTTCGTGTCACTCTGAAAGCTTTAAGATCAGTAGAATCACTGAGTTGATCTCACAAACTGCTGCAGATCAGTAAGTAACAACTGGAGTTTGACTGCTAAAAGGAAGAAAAACCTGAGACATTCAGAGTTGTTGAGAACATTACAGCTTGGTTGATGTCTGTCACACAGCACTGCATTTGGTTATTAAACCGTCTAACTCAGACAAGCCTCTGTTGTTAGTGTGGATTTGGAATAGCGAGCATAGTGAGTATTAGTGACTTTTCTCAGCTTTGCTCATATATGTGATTCATTTGCAATGTGGACACAGAGTAGAATGAGTTTCCATTCATGCATGTCCTGCAGGTGGTTTGCTGCAGGACAGCTGACTGAGACTGACTGCAGTCTCAGTGGGAGGGACTCACTGCAACCCGAACTGCTCACTCAGGACAGTTTCTGAAGACTTATTGGAGCTTTCACACGTCGTCATAAAAGTCTGTAATAACAGAAACGTGGCTTGAGTTTTGCTAGTGGCTCTTTTGAAAAAGAGTGCCTGAAAAGTCACTAAATATGATGACAAAGTCTCTAAGATGTCAACTGTGTTTCTTTGGTCCTGATCAGAGGTGCACTTCCACCCTCAATTTAGCCCCACACTTGGCCATTCCCCTCAGTGTTTCTTACTGTAAGTAAAAATCCAGTAATCAAGTCTGGAGAAGACCAAACTTACTTTAAGTAAAATGGTGCATTCCCATGTAGACAGTAAAAAAAGGGAAATTTTGTAGATATTAGCAGGGACAGGAAATCAATGGAGAGAATGAAGAATGGAAATGATGTGTTTCATGTCAAGGTACTCTCATCAGGGTCCTGACAGAACTGTTCTGTACTTACTGTAATTTCTGTATGTTTTTCCTAGGAATCCCAAAGAAAAGCTCATTACAGTAATCAAGTCTGCAGATGACGAAGGCATGAACAAACTTCTCTACTTCTGGGAAGATCAAATGAGAAACCACAACTGTCCTCAGTGAAGGAAAGAGTTCATACTGAGTCCTGGTGGAAAATCTGAAAAAGACTCCAACTTGCCCCAACAGCTTCAGGTTTCTGCTAAGCTCTAGGAGAGCATCTGCCCTCGTTATGATGAGGTGATGAAGATTTTCCGTCGTACTGATCAGCAGTGTATCTGCTATTTCTGCACTATGGCTGAACTTAAAGGGCATGAAGCAGTCGCAGCAGAACCAGAACCAAAGAGCAGAGATGAGTTCTTAAAATATTTACAAGAAATCACTCTGGATCCAAACACTGTCAACAGGTTTCTGTTATTGTCTGAGGGGAACAGAAAAGTTACAAGAATGGAAGAACAACAGTCTCATCCTGATCATCCAGACAGATTCACTGGTTTTTGGTTTCAGGTCCTGAGCAGAGAGAGTCTGACTGGTCGTTGTTACTGGGAGGTGGAGTGGAGAGGAAGATTAGTTTATGTTGCTGTTTCATACAAGAACATCAGCAGAGCAGGAAGATCAAAGAAATGTTTATTTGGACTTAATGATAAATCTTGGTCATTACGCTGTGACAGAGAAAGTTACACATTTTGGCACAATGACACTGACACTCCAGTACCAGGTCCAGTCTCCTCCAGAATAGGAGTGTACCTGGACCACAGAGCAGGTATTCTGTCTTTCTACAGCGTCTCTGGAACCATGACTCTCCTCCACAGAGTCCAGACCAGATTCACTCAGCCTCTATATGCTGGGGTTTATATTTATCATAGCTCCTCTGCTGAGTTCATTAAGATGAAACAGTCAGCAGTGATCTGAGGTGGCTGGGCTCAGATTTAGTCAGTGGAGTTGTATTCTCCCTGAGATTCCTCTATTATTGTTAACTACAGTCAGGTGTAGATCATTGGTGACTATTTCACATCTCTCCTAATTATAGGCATTAACTAATTTCCAGGGCAGTAGATGTGTGAACATTAATTGATGTAACTAACACTGCAAAGTTTTGTAGAAGTAAAATGTTTTAATGACATTTGTGTGCATTAAAAATGTTATTAAAATCTGTAGTTTCTGCCTTTATGATGCTGAATGTCAATTATATATATATTTTCCCCATTTATAATAATAATAATAATAATAATAATAATAATACATTTGACTTAGAATGCCCTTCATATCTTTAAAACTGAAAGGTCAAGAAACAAAAATTTGATTAAAACCAATATCTAAGAAAATGTTTGAAAATGATAAATTTATCATCAATCAGAGTTTGGAAAAAATGTCTGTTTGCTTCTGTGGGGGTGGGTGCCTTTACATCCTAAACAAAAACTAATTTTTAGCTTACTTTTGTTCATATGCTGGCTGGTGCTTAACCAGTAAGGTAAAAGTGACTGTGACTAGATAAAAATAACTAAAAATAAACAGACTTTAAAACAGCTAAATGTCATTTAAATACTTCTCAAAAAGACTAGACACCTACTACTGCTTAGGAACTGACCGTCAGGTGCAACGCTGCTTTTTCTATATGCCAAGTGCATCACACGCATGCGTCCTGTATTTATGTGGGTCAGGTGCATCGTGTTGGTTTTATGCACCACATGCATGATGTGCTTTGGGGAATGCGGTTGCATTCCTGTTGATAAGGTGCGCTGGCGGTTTGTGTTTGTGTCCTCCCATAATATCCTGCAGGCTTCTCCGGCTTCACACACTCTTCCTCAGTTTCTCTTTCATCGTCACTCATAATGTCACTTTGGTCTTGAGCTTGTTATCGTTTTCATCATGCTGAGGTTCAGACTTTTGAAACTCATTAGTAAAAAGCCGTATAGTAGCTGCATCCTTCTGGTCAAAAAGGGAGAAAATAGTAGCAACTCTGAAAATTACAGTTTTGTTTCTTTATTTGTGAATTTCTTGAACAGTCTAGGATTTATATATTATGTATAATTTCCTAAATGTTCTGTCTATAATCTTTGCTTAACTACCTCTTTTATAATTTGACCTTGCAATGAATTCTTTGTCTCGGATAATTTCAATCTACTCTGCAAATAAAGATTTTATAAAGATCTTATAAGTTACTGAGTGACTTAATGAGTCACTGAGTGACTCATTAAGTCTCCATTAAGAGACCCATTAAGTCTCAGTGACTTAATGGGTTGAAAAACTGATATTTATTTCTTGAATTAAAAGAGAAAAGGGAGAGCCTTAAGATAAGCTCATACTCAAATCAAAGCTGAAATTCACATGTTTGTGTTTCCTATAGAAAACCAACCAGTTTAGCAGGTTAAAAACATAATGACAAGTATTTTAAGCATGAAATCTGTGTCTTGTTTGCCTTCCTCACACAACACAGATAAAAGTTTCCAAAACCTGTTCAATATTTCATTAGATCATACCCAAAGTTACCCAAGGAAGTTAGGTAAATTTGTTTGACAGTCAAGTATAAAGATTGCAGATGGAGTTGGCTAAAGTTTATGCTCGTGCAGCAGATTTAAACTGATCTTTCACCTGGATTGAAATATGGTATGTCACCACTCCCATCTTGAAAAAAGGCAGTTTAACAGTTTGTTTCCTGGTTCTTTCATATATAGCTCAGACACAATCCAACTCACTGCATTGCCAAGTTGAAGAGCTGACAAGTCAACCTGCTGAAGTTCAATGAGAAAGAAGCAAATTCTGATTTGGCTTCTTCTGCAGCACATCTATTTGCAAAACAGGAAAGAAATACTACCGACGTTCCAAGGTGAAATGGCACAGAGACAAAATCAGACAGAGTCAGTTAAATTCTCCTGTTCCATCTGTTTGGATCAACTGAAGGATCCAGTGACTATTCCTTGTGGACACAGCTACTGTATGAATTGTATTAAAGACCACTGGGATGGAGAAGATCAGAGAAGAATCCACAGCTGCCCTCAGTGCAGGAAAGAGTTCATACCGAGGCCTGGACTGGAGAAAAACATCATGTTAGCTGATTTTGTGGAGGAGCTGAAGAAGACTGGACTCCAAGCTGCTCCTGCTGATCACTGCTATGCTGGACCTGAAGATGTGGCCTGTGATGTCTGCACTGGGAGGAAGAGGAAAGCTGTCAAGTCCTGTCTGGTCTGTTTGGCGTCTTACTGCCAAAATCACCTTCAACCTCATTATGAATCACCTACGTTTAAAAAACATAATCTGGTTGAAGCTTCTACTAAACTTCAGCAGAGGATCTGCTCTCGTCATGATGAGGTGATGAAGATCTTCTGTCGTACTGATCAGCAGTGTATCTGTTTTCTTTGCACTATGGAGGAACATAAAGGCCATAAAACAGTCCCAGCTGCAGCAGAAAGAGCTGAGAAGCAGAAGAAGCTCCAGGAGAGTCGACAACAAATCCATCAGAGAATCCAGGACCAAGAGAAAGATGTGAAGCTGCTTCAACAGGAGGTGGAGGCCATCAATGTCTCTGCTGATAAAGCAGTGGAGGACATTGAGAAGATCTTCACCCAGCTGATCCGTCTCCTCCAGAAAAGAAGCTCTGAGGTGAAGCAGCAGATCAGATCCCAGCAGGAAACTGAAGTGAGTCGAGTCAAAGATGTTCAGGAGAAGCTGGAGCAGGAGATCACTGAGCTGAAGAGGAAAGACGCTGAGCTGGAGCAGCTCTCACACACAGAGGATCACAACCAGTTTCTCCACAAGTACCCCTCACTGCCAGCACTCAGGGAGTCGACACATTCATCCATGATCAAGATCCGTCCTCTGAGATACTTTGAGGACGTGACAGCAGCTGTGTCAGAGCTCAGAGACAAACTACAGGACGTCCTGAGAGACACATGGAGAAAAATCTTACTGAAAGTCACTGAGGTTGAGGGTTCGCTGTCAGAACCAGAACCAAAGACCAGAGATAAAGTACAGGACATTCCTTCAGACACAAGAACAAACATCTCACTGAAGGTCACTGAAATGGACGTTCTACTGTCAGAACCAGAACCAAAACCAGAACTGAATTCTAAAAATATTCACAAAATGTCACTCTGGACCCAGACACAACACACAGGAAGCTTTTTTTATCAGATAGAAATAGAAAAGTAACATCAAAACTTCCCTCATCTTCTGTATTGCGGTACCATTTCAGTGATCCAGACAGATTTACTGATTATAATCAGGTTCTGAGTAGAGAGAGTCTGACTGGACGTTGTTACTGGGAGGTGGAGTGGAGAGGAGGAAGAGTTCATGTAGCAGTTTCATACAAGAACATCAGCAGAGAAGGAAGGTCAGATAAGTGTGCATTTGGATTCAATAACAAATCTTGGTCATTATATTGCGACAGAAGCAGTTACACTTTTCATCACAACAACATTAAAACTCCAGTACCAGGTCCAGTTTCCTCCAGAATAGGAGTGTACCTGGACCACACAGCAGGTATTCTGTCTTTCTACAGCGTCTCTGGAACCATGACTCTCCTCCACAGAGTCCAGACCAGATTCACTCAGCCTCTATATGCTGGGATCCGGCTGTTTGATGAGGCTGATTCTGCTGAGTTAATTAAAGTCAAATAGAATCACAACAGAATTAATGAACCAGTGACATATTCACACCTGTGGGAGGAAACCGGAGTACCCAGAGAAAACCCAGCATGCACAGAGAGAACATGCAAACTCCATGCAGAAAGACCCTGGGCCAGGAATCAAACCCAGGACCTTCTTGCTGCAAGGCAACAGTGCTACTAACTGCTACAGTGTGCAGTCCACACAAAGAAAAGATCCAAAGTTGAACTGGGCAGAGATTTTAGCAAGACAGGACGCATAACTCTGAGGGAAAGCTCATTAATGTAAGAGTAACAGAGAGAAAACTGGTTTAACACGTTATAATTATATAACTTTTTCCCCATGCAATCTTCAAGATAATTAATCATAATATCAAAGTGGTTCTAAATACTGAAATGCATTTTACTGCATTTGAATCTATCTGAATGGATTGATTATGTAGTTCTCAGTATGTTTGTCTTTTAAAAAGTACCTTAAGACATTTGTTGTAAATCTCCCCAATTATAACACAATGACTAAAATGAAATTAAACAGATGGATGTATCATAATGATTTTAAAGCATCAGGTGTGTAATTTTCCATCAATACCTCTTCAGTAAGCACTACCTTATCATGGAGTTCACTCTGCAACAACAACAACCTCTGTCCTCTAGAATACCAATAACAGCAGTAAAAGCCACTCCCATCTGTCAGGTAAACAGATGGGAGTGGCTGATTGCAGCTCCAGCAAAGGTTCGTGTTACATGCTCATTTCCCTAAAGGAAGAGTCACCCAGTATTACTGGAACGCTGCAGCAGAAAGATCAGATGGATTCTGCTAAATTAACTTGCTGTATCTGTTTGGATCTCCTGAAGAGATCCAACAGCAGAAAGGACAGAGACTTTGGTCAACTGGAGAGAGGAGGTCGCGGCAACCCTATAAAGGTGTTGAAGTCAGCCGAAGGCAGTGACAACACTGACTGCTAGCCCCAAAAACAGTGGCACTTTTGACTGTTACGTTCCTGGGCCTTGTAGGCTGGGCTGCAGGTGTTGCTTTTGTGTCTTTGTGCTCCTCCCCTTTGCAGGTGTCTCTGGTTCATTGATTGGGAGCGCAGAGTACTTGAACCTGGCTGTCTCCGTCTTCTGGGTCGCCTTCAGCGTCCACTCTGCCGATTGACACTGGTGGTGTTTGTTGCCAGGCCTCAGCTCCCCTCCTTTTTGCACATATGCGTTTGTCTTTGTTTTTGCACTTCAACACTTCCATATGCACTCATACAACACATCCAAGCATTTGCATTACACCACTGATACTGATATCCACAATCCATTGTTGTTTTTGTTAATA